CTTCTTTCTACTTTGGGCCTGGAATTAGCCATTTCTCTTAAGGATCATGTGTTTTTAGCTTAGAAATTGATGAGGTTTCCAAAAGATCTACAAAACACTAACTTTCTTTTTGAGCAATTGTTTTCTAAAATTAGATTAATCTTTTTAAAGGGTTATTCATTTATTCTCTCTCTATTTTTTTTGAAGTGTGGTATTAGGGAATCATGCCTGAGTTTGCATATTAACTCTTCCAGTGTTTATCAGATCATTTTTTACTTCTGCTATGTCATCCTAAACAATTCTTTGACATTTTCTATTTCTTTGTATTTTCGTTGACTATATTGTCATTTCTAGATTTGCTGATGAACCTGCAAATTGAATTCATTTGCATTTCCTTGGTAATAATGTAGGCTGTTGATGCCAAAGGAAGAAAAACAAATGGACTTGAAAGTGATTGAATGCGTCAGAAAGCCATTTTTGCAGATGAAGATGGATGTGGAGATAGTGATGATGAAGATGAAATTTCCGAAGATGACAGATTGGAAACCATCTCTAGTGATGAGGAAGCAGAAGAGGAGGAAAACGCTGAGGTGACTGATCAGTATAAGACTGCTAAGGGCATCAAACGAGGGAAGCTTGAGGAGTTGGAAGAAGACAGTGAAGTAGATTTGCCAGCATTTGCTGACTGTGATGATGAGCTTGAGGGGAGCTCAGCAGAAGGGGAAGTGGAATAAGCTGGGGAAAGCAGTGAGGAAGAGGACTGCACTGCAGGAGAGAGGGGCATTTCAGGATCAAAGACTGTCACCAGCTAATCCCCAGAGTGACCCTGTAAATCTGGAGAAGTCTTTGTTGATGAAGAAAGCAGCCCTCACTTCTTCGTTTCTGGGCATTGCCCAGCTGACAAGGCATTTGCATCTGAAGATGAATCTGAAGAAAGCTCTTTACTCAGTGCAGAGGAAGAGGACCTGGAAAATGAGGACACTTTTAGGAAAAAGGTTTCAGAGCCTTCTCAAGTGGGTAGTGGTCAGAAACTGGGGTGAAGAAACTTAATTGATGAAACCAGTAATATAGAAGTTTTACTCAAAGAAGAAGATTGCAAGGAAGAGAAGAATGATTCCACAGAAGCCTCAGGTAAGCTTAAATTTAGTTGGTTGCTGCTATGAACTTGACTCTCGAAATGGTACCCAAAGGAATGTCTACATTTGGGGATCTGTTGATTTTGAGATTTTGGTAACTGTTGAAATGCTGCATTGTGGATGGATCTCGGGGGAGGGGAGACACGTAAACAAGTCTAACTGGAGGTTGGCATTCGTCATTTCAGGTGCCCTCAAGTGGAAGGAAGACCTTTCCAGAAAGGCACTGAGGCCTTTCTGAGGCAGCAACAAGCAGCTCCAAACCTCCAAAAGCTTATTTATGGGACAGGTAAAGAATTCTGGTTCAGAGCTGGAAATGTTTCAGTTTCTCTGATTATTTTCTGAAAAGGAGAAAGGGAATTGGTTGGAGTATTGGGCTGGTATTGTTGACATCCGTCATTGCTGGCCGTCACATTTCCTATTTGGCAGATGTCTTTAATCATCAGCTTACGAGGACCACACATTGGTCTTGTGAAGTACACTATGGGTTTGCTGTAAAACTTGATGATGCAAGTAGTGTCTATTGCATCATGTCATGTCCCCTTTTAAAAAGTCATTCATGAGAAATTTTTTGTAGAATTTAGTGCCAGAAAAATATTTCTGCCCATAAAAGTATTTATTTGTTCCTTTCTGAGAATGAGAACCCTGTATAACACATTTTGTTCTCCCTTTTGCCCTTATCCTCTGATTTTATGCTTTGTTAAACATACCTATATGTTCTTTGTGGTAGAATTAATGCCAAAATAAACATAGAGTGGTGAACTTTACATTGTGTTCCTTGGTTACTGCACGATGAGATCAAGGCCACATGGTGAGACACTTGGGCTCGGCACACTGAATTGGGAGGGTTGTTTTGTACTGATTTTCATTCAGCTTTTGTCTAGGTACTCTCAGTGATGAGAAGCTCAACGCTCTTTAGAGCTCTTCTTTAATAATTGAAAGCTCTGCTTTTAAATGTCCCTTCCCTCCTTGACCCCTAATATTCTAAGTCCTCCTCAACTGCTTAGCTGCTGCCATGCAGGAGTGCAGGAGCCCCCACACATGTAGAGCAATAGCTTCCTGGCCTCTCTTTACTTGTAGCTGACCTGCCCTCTCAGTGCCTGACTCACATGTGGCCATTGCTGTACCCACCACAGACAGAGGCCCTTGGTTCCTGAGTTGGAAGAATCGTGGCCTAACTGGTTGAAAACAATGAGTCCTCCAGAGCTGTAGGTTTTGTTCTCACTTTTCTGCCATGGTGTTCTCTTTAGTGACAGAAGATAATGAAGAAGATGATACCTGAGAAGAGCTTGGAGGGTTGTTTCGTGTCAGCCAGCCTGACAGCGTGGAAGCACAAGGCCGACTCTTTGGACTGCTTCAGATTTCTTGTGGAGGTGCCCCATGACTGGGATTTAGAGGAGGTAAGGCTGGGAAATACGTTTCATTTATTAGAGAGTTGTTCTAGAATAAGATTATCTGATGTCAATATTCCATACCTGTTGTTGGTTTCTTATTTTTATAGGATGACAGGTCATCCTCCCAGATACTGCGGTGGGCAGTTCATGCATTCTAAGCAATAACACATTCTGAGTTTAGTTCATTGCACAGCCCACAGAGGACAGGTTCAGCTTCCAGTAGGAACAGAAGTGCCAATCTCTATTTTGAAGCATCACACATAAATTTTTATACATCTGATGTATTTTGTGTCTTATCACTAGGATATACGTAGCATCCCTGAGTTAACATTTATAGTTTCTGCTATTTGTAAGCATCCAGAAATCTGTGATACCTGTAAATGTTCTTCCTGCAGCTCACCGCTTTGTAGTCACACTAGAATTAACTCAGTACTCAAACGCCACACAGCTTACCCTCCTCCTAGGCCTTTTCTCTTTCTCTCCTTTTTGAGACATGGTCTTTCTCTACATTCCAGGCTGGAGTGCAGTGGCACGAGTGTACGGCCCAATGCAGCCTCGACCTCCTGGGCTCAAGGGATCTTCCCACCTCAGCCATCAGAGTAGCTGGGACTATAGGCATGAGCCACTAGGCCTGGCTGCTTTTTGCCTTTTTTGTAGAGACAGTGTTTCACCATGTTGAGCTAGTCTCAAGCTCTTGGCTAGAGTGATCTTCCTGCCTTGCCCTCCCAAGAGTTCTGGGATTACAGGAGTGAGCCATTTCATCACCCCTTTTCTCTATATTCTCTTCTGGAATGTTCTGATCTTCCAAAGGCGGCCTTCTTTTTTGTCAATTCAGTTTGGCTTAGGTGTCACTTCTCACAGAGCCCCAATTGCTCTCATCCTGCCTATTGTAATTTTCCAGGTGACACTTAATACTATTTATGAGATTTCATTTAAATATTTTTTAATGGTGAAATTTAATACAGATATAGAAAACCACGTAAAAACAATTATTTAACTTAATGGGTTGCCAGAAGGTGAATACCCCTGTACTCAGCACTCAGGCTGGGAAATCAAGCTTTGCTGCTTGATTGCGACACCAGCCAGGGCCCTCTTCCTCCCTGTGGAAGGAGGTGTGGTCCAGCCTCTTGTGGCGACTTTTTTCTTTTCTTCCTGGTTTCCTCTTC